CAGCTCAGAGCTGCCTTTGTTGTAATTTGTGAACCTCTGGGAGGAAAGATGTCACTGTGATGGCAATACTCCATCGAACAGTGCCCACTGCTAACACACAGAGAGAATTTGTTCTAGGACTTGAAAGCCATACTGGTGCTCCTGGCACCTGAGTTTCTATCTCTGCCCAGCATTTCTATCACCAATATAAACGGTGAACAACAACAGTATGTGTCTGGCAAAAGCTATTCGCTCTGTCCTCCTCTGGAGGCCACCATTTGAAGCTGTTTTAGATTATTTGCTCCAATCAGTTGCTACTGCTCTGACTTACTGTTATTTCTATTGCCAGTGTAAGAGGTGATCCATCTGCAGTGCAACTAGTTGTTTTTCTGAAATAGGAGCAGGCAATGGTGTGTATGAGAGTTCAAGCATTGGGGAACGCTGTGTCAACACCTAGAGACATGCCATCACCAGAGCCGCAGGGGCATGGATGCCACCATGGGTACCACTCTCACCCAGCGCTGCGCTTCAAACAGGTCTGTCAGCAGACACAGCAACAGCTTTGTGCATAGCTAAGCTCTGTCAGCTGCGCCTTGTAGGCAACCATAAAATAGATGTAGAGCACATGACTTCAGAAGAACAAATAGCAAAAATAAATAAGCGTCTTTCCCTCTCTCCTGTGATGCTGCTTACAGGTCCTGCCTCAAGGCTGCAAGAAAACAGCTCACTGAGCTGGAGGCTGCAAAGGTTTAGACATGTACTAAACTCCCCAACTCAAGCACAGACGGAACCCTGGGCCTGACTCTTAGCTCCTTTTCAAAATGACATGTTTATGCCACCTTCACTGAGAACCTGATCCAGCATCCCCGAAATAAACTTGAGTCCTTCAGTCATCTTCAGCTCAGTCTAAATCAGCTGTTCCTCTGATTTCTGCTCTTTCTCCTGTTCCTCCCTCCCACTAGTCCTAGCACCTTTTCTTCCCTGAAACAGAACAGCTTAGCCCATCAAGTCAGCAACAGCTATCCTCTGCCTGCTCTCAAACCCTGGTGAACGTCACCTCATTTTTCTAGTCCAGCTCTGCCCAGGTTTGACTCTCTCCAGACAGAAGAATCCAGCAGATATATCCAGTTTCCTTGCCCAGGCCTCTTTGCTTGGTAATGTTTCCCTTTTCTGCACCGATTACAAGCCGCAAGCCTGCTGCAGCCCTGTCCAGCCGAGCTCCAGTCCCAGCAGGTCGGCTGGACGTGGCAGCGCAGAGGCACAGCGAGCAGGGAAAAACCTCCCCTGGCATCCGAGAACACTCCAGGGTATCGCACGTAGCTGGGAGGAGATGCTTTGCCCTGACTCAGCTCAGCACTATTCAGTAACTCAGCATCCTGCTCCGGGTGGCAGCCATCTTCCAGGCAAGAGGAAGAACGGCAGGATCAGGCCACGGTCCATGGGTCTATTTAGAAGCCAGATCTCTCCGTGCATGGATATTCTCCCTTTCCGGGAAGCTGCTTTGCATGGCCTGGAAGGAAATGGGCCAAGGTCCTTACGGTTGTTAAAAAATCTCGTGATACTTTTGCAAGAGGGATGGTGTAAATCAAACCACAGGGCACAAGCTACCTAACTCCGGGTAATTTATATTCTGCCTCACTAAGTTCATCTCTGCACTTTCAATGCATGAAGTGATTTTTCACTTCCCCTGTAGTATTTGCTGGCACGGAAAAGCTGCTGGGCTCTGTCCCAGAAGTAGCTGCATTTCATCACCGCGTAAAAGATTCCTGCGTCTATGGGGCCAGATCCTCAGCAGAACTCCCGGACGCACCCGCGGGGTTTGCGGCCGGCAAGGATCCGGCCCGAAGCCATTCAGCTGCACCTGGGCTCCTCGGAGAAGAGGGCCCTGTTGTTATTTACCGCGAGTGCGTGCGTCCCTCCCGCCCCCGTATTATTATTAGCGCTTGGCTCCCGCTCCGCGGAGCCGGGGCAGGCGGGGGGCGGTCCCACCCCCCCCTCCGCGGCCGGGCGCTGCGTGGAGCCACAGCGCCCCCTCCTGGGCCACGGCGGCACCGCCCGCCCCGCCGCCGCGGAGGGGCTCCGCGCTGGCGCAGCGGGGCGCGGAGATGCCCGGGGGGGGGGCGGGGGGCCCGGGGGGGGGGGGGGGTTC